GGTAATTTGATTTTATGAAGTACACAGTGATGCATTATTATTTGCTGATGACGTCATCACATTTCAGTGCTCACTATAAGATAAAGGCTTTCCGTCCTTCCCTGGCTTCGGATTACACTGGTAGTAAGATTTTTTCACATATCGGATACTGCCACTATGCCATTCATACTGCATATACTGGATTTAATAGATTCAATGAACTAGGAATCAGTGATCATGTCAATATGATAGTCCTTAAAAGTATGGCACTAGGTCACTCACCCTAATGTGTGTGGTTATGCATTAGTGAGTGCGTACTGATTACTAAATATCCCTCGGAATCATTCATTTTCCTGGGTCAGTCAATCTCTACACTTGGCTGAACTTCCATCTCCCCATAGCCTACACTAAGGCTATATGCTAGTGTCAAGTGTCTAATAATGATCTCTTGATATTTGTGTACCAGAACATTCTCTCCTATGAGTTGTCCCCCAACTTTCGAGTTGGAAAATTCGTGTTGAGTTAAACCCGCATTGATGCGTTATTCCTAGGAAGCTAGCATGTATCATCTCTTGAAGAACCTCGTGATGGTTATGACAAACTCACTAATACAAAACGTTTTAATATGATTTCAGTGAAGGTAAACACCAGTTAGCATATCTGTGAGTATTCGATTAAATCAGCTTCGAAGATGATTAGCTGAGGCCTTCATCATTTAACAGAATCCTCCTCATTAAAAGTGGTTTATAAAGGCATCTTCTCAACTCACTGAATAGCAGCAGGAGGTGGCTCTCTTGAAGTCATAGTGAACGTGTGCATAAAACAACTGAAGTCCACGATGGAAATAATGAAGAAGCCTATGCGTATTCAGTGTATTTCTTCAGAGTTTGAGAACAAAAGACATGAATTCTCTTTCCCTGTTAATTCAGTGAATCCACCTTGTTTCAGTGAATTCTGGGTTTCATTGATATTTAAGCTAGATCATTTGAAATAACTTATTTTGAGACGATAGTTTTGTGAAAAAAGTATAACAAAAAATCGTGTGATTTTATTTATTAATCTGTGCTACTTTATTATTTATTGAAGTGACTATTCATGTACAAATGTCAAGTAGACTGAAAAAATGTGTTTCATTCCGAAAACGAATGGTCGTGTTAGTTGTTTTTCTACTGAAATATGAGTGTACCTTGAAACTAACATCGAAGATACAGAGATAGTCAGAGAGAGAGAGGGGGGAGATAACAAGACGCACTTCGTATTCTGATTTATGTGGTGTCAGTTTAATCACTGAATAAATTCAGTCTTAATCTTTAAACTCATAGTTATATTCTCGTGTTAAATAAACCGTTTTGAGTGGTTATTTTTTAAGAAAAGTATTTTGTTGGATTGTGTTAGAATGGTTAAACAATTAATGGCATGACTGTGTTTATAGTACAATCATTTTCTTTCATATTAATTCCTGCTCAATAATGATAGTCTCTTCGAAGACTTATATTATTACCATAAGGTATGATCGAAGTCTACGAAGGCTTATTTGGTGTAGAAACACTTGGACATAGTCATCCAGTTGATTTCCTCCACCGTTGTGTTGCATATTGTATCATCACTGTCAGTGAATTCACGCAATTATGATAGAACCTGTTTGTAAGCAATCTTGAAAGGGTTATGTAAATTTTGGATAGTCAGTAAAATAAGTTTCGAAGATTACTGGAGTGCAGTAGCACCTCAACAAAATATGACTTCCTTTGTGATGCTACAGTAATACAGATTCAAGAACATCGAAGTTTTGCTTCAGTAAATTCAGCGTTCTTGTTGTATATGTAAAACGACAAGTACGCATAAAAGATAGTCAAATTTCGAAAGAAATACAGGAATTTTGTGATGTGTTACATGTCTTTGGGAGCGTACTAAAATACCACTAGAGGTGCAGTTCTTAACCTGAGTGGTTGCTTGGTCTCACTGAAATTCATCGCGCAGTTTATGGCGCTCGAGTGCGTGGGAATAGGATGAAGGAAATATTCTCAGCCCTTGAAATGGTAATAGACATTGTGAGGAACTACATTCTAGTTCACATGAACCAAGTAGTTTACACAAAAATATGCTATAGGGAAAACACAAAACAGCTGCTGTCTTGGCTTATGTGACAGCATTCTTTGTGTTTTATATGAAACTAATTCGTGCAATAAATGTTTGGTATGAATGCACATTTATGCGGCACACAAAGTCTCTGCCGCTAATCGAGTAGTTGGCACTAAAAAGACGAATTAAGAAGAGGTAGTGGTGAAGACACCTGGCGAAAACACTAATCAGTATCAGCTACAGCAATCTGAAGAGACATTCCTCTCTCAGTTATCTCATCCAAGCAGCATCGTTTCGCCTATGAATGACATGCATGAGACGACATAGGATCGAGTCGGGTGGTGGGGTGAGTGGGGCAAAATAGGAATTCATCACAGTGAAATCGGCTGTGGTGATTGACAATTTCTATCTCTGTATTGTTTAAAATACTTACTGTTGACTGTTGATATGTTTCATATATGAATTGCATAATAATTCCGCTAAATACAAATTCCTGATTGCTGCCCTCTCTGGGTTTTGTTTAGATTCTTATAATTCCGTCAGATCGAAATACTAATACTTCAAGTACAATAAATTACTACAAATTGGCGTCGCGATGGAGCTAAGTAACCTGGGAAAATTCCCCATTAATGGGTCTCCGCGGGAGATTGCTGATTATTTGGAATGCTTTGATGCGTGGTGCATTTCCAAGAATGTTCGGGATGATAAAATACCTGCTCATTTCATCACCGCTATTGGGCTTGATGCATATAGCCTGGTGAAGAATCTGGCATTTCCAGATAAACCCATTTCTATGCCATATGACAAGATCCGTGAACTTCTGACAAATCACTTTCATGTGACTACATTTGAGACCAGAGAGAGGGCTCACTTCAACAAACTGGTACGTTCTCCCAACCAGAAGATTAGAGACTTCATTCTTCAACTTCAAATTCAAGCCTCAAAGTGTAATTTTGGAGATCAGCTGCATACTCAACTACGTGATCGTCTAATTGCTGGAATCAATATTCCTAAATTAGAGAAAGAGTTAATTCAGATTCCTTCTTGTACGTTTCAAACTGCTAAAGATGTATGTATTACATATGAAGATGTCAATAATGAATACTCTGCTCCCACTACGTCAGTGTCTGATGTTATGCTTTCTAAAGTCGAAAATACAAGTGGTAATGGAAAGCAATCCAAACTGCCGTCCACAGGTAATAGAATGCAGCGAGAGATCAAAAACATTAAACCGTGTTTATCCTGTGGAAAGTTACATCTACGAAGCACTTGCCGTTTTCGGAGTGCTAAGTGCTATAAATGTGGTAAAGTTGGACACATCAAGACGGTTTGCAGAAGTTCGAATACTTATGTTGCTCAACATTCTTATAATTCTCCCAAGCTGTCTAGTAAAATGGAGTCAATGTGTCTTTCAACCTTTCAAAATACTCAAGCTAATCCAATGAAAACCTCCACTGCAAGTTCGGCAACTCAAGTGTCAACTGTTTTCAAAAATGAGGTAGCTGAGTTGCAATGTGAACTGTCGAAAACACGAAAAGACCTGAATGAGATGAGAGAGCAACTGATTAAAATTGAGGAATTACTGCATATGCATAGACTGCGTCTGTCGAATGCAGAGCATACAAGTACCCGTGAAAGTCCTGCAAAACTTTTCAAATCTCGAATTCTCAAAAAGCATCTGATGTCCACGACTTCTAATGTACATTATTACAAAGGGAAAGACTATAGACCTTCTGTTGGAATTATACTACAAAAAATGGGAAATCGAGTGGTGAAGATATTAGACATCAAAGATCACTCAGTTCATAACGGACACCTGGACAAAGTGACAATAAATGAAGTAGGTCGTTCCAATTATAATATTATTGATTCCGCTAATAATCCTGATTTTGTAGATAATTCAGAAATAGGTCCAGATAATACTGATGAAAATAATATCACAGAATCAGTTAGGTCGAAGCTACTTGCAAGCAAACCGAGACATCGTTATAAATACGCGAGGAGATATTCGAGGTGTGGCGGATGTGGTGATTGACAATTTCTATCTCTGTATTGTTTAAATACTTACTGTTGACTGTTGATATGTTTCATATATGAATTGCATAATAATTCCGCTAAATACAAATTCCTGATTGCTGCCCTCTCTGGGTTTTGTTTAGATTCTTATAATTCCGTCATCCCGGTGTATTAATATTTCAAGTACAATAAATTACTACATCGGCGTAACTATCTATACCACTCGATATTAGAACAATATTTGAACGGTAAGCCAGTTCCCAGTTTTGATTCAGGGACTTCATGCATTTGTCACAAAAAGCATTTCAAGAACCATGCATATTTTCATCAACAACTATCTCCGTTCTACACTTAAGATCAGATGGCCAGTCAAAAAGAATATGCATACAGTAACTGTTACAACAAACCACCCAACAGTATGCCGCACGACAAACATTCAGAATGTAATGTATGTGGCTTTAGTATGCTCAGAAGATAGCTTCAACTAGGATCTAACGTCATTTCCTCTAATAGTAGTTAGACATCGGTTGACCACTTAAGCATTCAATAATTACGTGGATAAGAACATAGGAGGGGAAAACGAAGCTTTTTATTAGTAGTTGAACCAACTAGGTGTGATGATGGGAAACCAAGTGAAGATTTGACATTGAAGCTGTGAGTTAGACATGGACTACATTGACCATTGAAAGGCGTTCATGCAGCGCCGCCTAACAAATGCTGTGCTGACCTCAGGTTCATCTTGTTGTAAAAAGCAAACTCGCGAAGTCTGTACTCACTCAGACAGCCAACAGTCACTTCTTTCAAAAGAGTGTATTTCAGTGGATATTTGAAAATATTTAGTTTTTCATTTTAACAAAACAGAAATCAATAAAACTCTGATGCACAAAATAGTGAGCAGCGATCTTCATTTACTTTCTCCAGTTTGTTCATGTCCTCAAAATTTTAGTTGGGCAGAAACCTGGACCGTTGACTGGATGAGCTTCTATGTTGTTACTGAAATAAATCGTCAAATAAATACATCGAAATTTACAATCAGCTTTGTTGTTTCACACACTGAATAACTAGTATTGGTGGACAGCGATAATGCGTATGGATATTTAAATGCTCCTCGTCAAATTGTTATGTTCTTTAGGCATACATCAGTTCACCTGATCTTTTGAGTCAGATACATTAGTCGTTCGACGCGTATCCTGCCTGAAAAGGTTTAAGAACACTATCCCGCACATAGTTCCAGGAAGGTAGTAGTTCTCCCTTAAGGAGTACGATATTCCACTATCTAGCGAGCACTGGCCATTCCATCTCAACAAACTCCACCTATCAAGGACAAAACGCTGTCTTCTCCTTTGCATTGCTGAAGCCTTAAAGATTCGTTTAGGCAAACCGGAGATATGCGTACAAAAGGAAGTTATTCAATCATATCTAATATCATGGCTACAGTTGTGTTGATTTCCTTTTTTTCCTTCACGTTCACCAGTGGAACATAGGGCTTCATGCTAGTGGCTTTAGATTTCTATCGCAGTGTTTATTTTACAGGATAGGGTGGTTAGCCTCATGCCCAACATTTCCTCTTTACCAGCATTATTTCTGGCTTAGCGAGGTAAAGGAGTGCATCCGTAGCCGGGGATCGAACTCCGGACCATGTACATAGTCGGCGAGCGTCCTAACCACTATGCCACCGACACCGTGTTGATTTCTATTCACCTGATTTTAGTTTGTTTGATTTTCTATCTCTGTATAACTCTCGTATGTCTTTGGGACTCTTACGTAACTCGTTTCTTTCTTTTTTTCTGTGTTCGTCCTGATTAAATTATTCATCTTATTACATAACTCCGATACACTTATTCAACTCTTCATATGCATTGACAACCCATCACTTTCGTTGCTACAGTCCAATGAGAAGAAATATATATAAATGCGATTTTACAGCTAAACCGGAGAGTGATTTCACCGAAAAGAGCCTCTTTGCTGAACTACGTGTTTTGTTTTCAAATTGTTAAGTATCGAGTTAGGCGATTTGCTGACAGTTTCAGACACGAAACCAGCAAATTAATCATCAAGGTTAAATTAAAGTCTCCATTATCACCTAAACAACATTCATTGTGTGCAGTGAAGTGCTCTAAGATGTTTAATACATTCCAGGAGGTAGACTCGTTTGGTGGACTTCAATTTCCTATGAACTAATCTAACAAATCTTTAAATTTTGCATTCGACTTAACCATGCAACAACGCGGTCGCATAATTTTTCTAATTTCCGTGCTTGTGCTAATATTGTATGTAACGAAAATGAAGTAAGATCAGATTCTTCGTTGGAAACAAAATGGACGTCACATACTTTCCCGCGGGGTCAAGATACGATGCAAACTGTGATTCAACAGTGAAAGGAGTGAATCACACCAGCAGTTCGTATTTCTGAATAAAAGCCATGGCATAAATATGTTGCAGTATAACTTCATAATATACATGATTACGCATGAATATAAGAATACAAGCACTCACTAGAGCATTCTGCATCGAAGTTCACCGATTCGTTGTGAGAATTCTTCACTTGTCTCAGTGTTTTTCGACCATAATCTTTCAGCTACAGCAGCACCTCTGGGCCTGCATGTATATGTCAAAGAGTGAGAACGATACTTCTTGAGTAAATAAAGCAAGAAAACTGAGGTCACACTAAACGTTTTTGTCAGGCTATTCTAAAATCTGTCTGTCATAAACTGGATGTCTCCCTTCATCATTTCATGTATGAGTCTCGTCTTCGTAGCATATTCGAAGGCGTATCACTCGATATGTGGCCAGCTGCGCCATTGGTTGAATAAAAGATGTAAGGCCAAGAGAGGCCAGCATCAACCTAGCCTGAAAATTCAGTAATGATCATTTGATATCGAAGTCAGTAGGACCGTCAACTCCATCCTTAGCAGTTAACATTCAAAATTAGTGACTGTTAAAATATGCGACACGCTGAAAAAAGTCATAGGAGTACTGAAAATCACAATTCATGTTTATCATATTTTTTTGATGATTGACTAACAATAAAGTCCCACCGGTCTGTCCATCCTCTTTCATCAGAACCTGAAGGGATAATATTGAATGCTCATATACTAGCAGAGACTCAGCGCTGGGCTATTTTGCATTTACATTTTCACTCACTTGTCTTGTCAACTTCAAAAATCCCTTTATACACTTGGTTCATTTCCACCAAACTCGACTCAAATCATTTTGTTAAGTGGTTGAAAGCTGATAGCACCAAACGTGGAATGTGGGGTTTACAAACGCTACTTACCATGCTAGAGTGACAACATTGGTCTCATCCACACGTGCACCCCACATTGTAGCTTCACCACCAATGACTAATGATGCCTGCTCGTCTGAGCCTGTAAAAGACACGATAATAATTATTATTGTCATCATCGCAAAAAGCTAATAGACTGAGTGACGATCAGTGTAATTTGCAAATTCAGATATTCCGTGTTCACTGGTGAACGAAAGATTTGCAATTCAGATGGTTTCGTATGTTAGTGTTTGTTGTTTTGCTGGATAAGAGCAGAGCATTACATAATTAGACACTGAGTTTTGATTTAGAAATAGTTAGTTAAATAACTAATTAAGGATGTGCTATATTTGAGGCGTTGCAAAAGCTAGACTGATCTTCATAGCTCTGAAATGAGTTTCAAACTTTGATGTACTCAGCATAAAGAACAAATTCGGACTTTCAACACAAATGTCAAGTCAGTCACTTCTTATATATGGATGATAAACTTGGGCTGGGTGTCACGAGAAGCATTTCCAGAAAGCTGAAGACTTTTGTCAACAGCTGTACTCTCTGGCTCGATATCGAAGATCAAGTGGCTGGCGAGAAGGAATTAGCAACATAAAACTATGGGAACGAACCAATCAAGAATCTACACCGCAACAAATGTTTAGGAGAAAGTGGACATGGATACGGCACACGCTGAGGAGATTCATTTGTATGAACAAGGAAATAATCTCCTCCCATGACGGATCCATTTACAAAGAAAATACTACCAACAATCAAATGCCTCAACTCTTATCTTTGCTCTAACTCCAATACTCACCACTTTGTCTCAATTCTGAATAAAACTTCCTATCAACCCATCATTCAAACAGTATTTGGAAATGAGATCAGGATGAAATTTGCACCCACATTCGTGCACGAAATTCATGCTGGAGCTGCAATAACTACAAGTTTTGTAGTCCAACAAATGATTTGCGTTCAAGACCATTGATAGGAACTCAATTCATAATGTTGGCCCTATTTTCATCGCTACTGTTATTATTCACTTTCAAAATCAAATAGACGCTGTGGCATAACCAGCAGATCACAAGGTTAAAACTGTGATGGTTTTACATTTTCACAATACTAGCTAGTCTAGCTGAGTAACTGATGAATTCTTCTACCACATGAAATGTCCTTTTAGTAGGTGTGATCAGACTGTGTCAGATTAAACGAGATTGGTATCGAAGGTGGAAGAAACGCAAACCAGATGGAACTATCATGAAAAATATGGATCAGACTCACAAGAATAGAAGAGATGCCACGTTCAAAGTACATTCTACGCCGAATTCGTATGTAACACCTAAAACGATCTCAAATAGGCACACAGCAGCCAAACCGGGAAGGATAAATAAAACCATACGTTTCAGGTCAGGATACTCGTGATAATGCAGTCGGATAATCTGGAAAACTAGCTGCATACAACCTATGTATTTAATCACTTGTTAACTTAACCCTCCGAGGTACGTGGCATTTATAAATGATGTATAAATGAATAGTACAGGCAAATTGTTGAGGTGGTGTGTCTCATCTTTCCGTCTTCATTTACGTAAGTTCTGAAAATCAGAAGAAATTGATGAACCAATACTAGTGTCGAGCTCACCAATCAACAGTCGTACTACTGACACCAACATAAAATAATTCATCGATCACTGTTCCTTCATACCAAGTTCTGGTTGAAATTACGCAAGCCAAACTGCTTAGTCGCGAGCCACCGATAGGCATGTAGTTACAAAGTGCTAATTATTCAGGATTATGTGGATTCCTACGCCATCTATCTTTTCATCCAACTCGATTTGGAGCACTCCTTCTCAGGAACACACATTTTCGTTGAGTGTGAGACAGAAATCTGAGTTCACATTTGCGATATATTCAACATCGAGGCGCATGCATACTTCATCGGATCTAGATTCATAACTGAACGATTACTTTTGAGGATGTGCTTGTTCAGTGTTAAGGAATCTTCGATTCAGGAACCGAGCTCCCATAATGCAACAACAATAAAAAATCATCCAGCTGACCTACGTGTTTTCTTCATTATTTTTGAATTCCTAAACGTAAGAATCCTTAATTGTTATACTGCTATACTGTGCTATTTCGAATAACCGACCAATTCACATTGTGAGATGACAAATAAGCTCTAAATTCAGCAAATCCAAAAGATAATGTCAACACATCAGTTTGGTTAATGATACTATTCCTGTTAAACCATAAGGTAAATCAACTAACCTCCAAATTCTCTGATATCTTGTTCGTAGTATTTTATCCAATCATATTCGTTATGTAGATCATTTAAATTCTAATCACCAGAAACTATAACCTTGAATTTGTTTCCGGTAGCATTTCTGGTATATCCTCTCCAGTCTGAGCCTTCCAAAATATGAATGACTGTGTTTTTGTCAGCCTATAAGATGGCACCAAACAATTATACAATTACTGGTTGTTTGTTGAACGAATACAAATGTCGTTTAATGAGAGAAATTTATGATTAAATGGTAATCTAGAAAGTGAGAGACACCTTATTCTAAGGATGGAAGATTCCAATTAAACGGTGATTATAAGGAGGAATTTCTTAGCTGTCTGAGATGTCGAATGCCTATCTTTGAAGATATTTTAAGCAATTGTCTTTCTTTATTAGAAAAAATTGAAAGTTGGCTCTTTTTCCAAGAACTGAAATATGCAATCAACTCGCTACCGCTCTATTTTCAACACTAAGGTCTTTGAATTTCTGGAAAAAGTTGTCATTGCTGGATTCGTCACTTCAGAGTGAAACACACACAACACATTTAAGCGAACAACGTTTTTCAATTAGATCTCATCAGGCGTAACTCTAATATACATAAGTTTACAAATAAAAATTCAAATATAATCCAAATCATAGTGTTTTGTCTATAGGATAATGAGATGGTTAGTATGAATTCAGAGTAACCAATGTCCTCCGTCTGATTCTTGGAGTTGGCGCTGACTGATTTCTAATAACCAGGATTGAAGTGTGATTGTCAAGCTAGATGAAGACTTATAAAATGAGCAATGAGAACCTGACTGTCTTTGATTTAAGAATAAAACGAGGAAGAAGACTTTCCACTCTTGACGCTAATGTCTTCGGGAAATTAGCGCACTTAAACAGTTATCCTGACTCTAGATCGATCAGTTCCACGTTATGTTATAGCAGATTGAAGAAAAAATTATTCAGTAATACAAATGACAGTCTAACTAATGCGACAAAGCATTTAGCTGTATTTAAAACAAAGTATAAGTGACGCACTCCTCACTAATATTCGGTTTCTAGAATTCTTAAGAAACATAGTTAGACGTAATTTTTTTTATCATAATTTGTTTTCACACAGTATTTCAGTAAAGCAATATAATTTTCGGCAGGTGATTTCAGTAACCGAAATTTAGCAGGTCGACCAATGATAGCAGGTGTGCGTCGGCAGGCGATCTAACCCCGGACCATGTGCACGGTCGGTGAGCGTCCCATTGGCTGTGCCACCGACACACAGTGGCAGATATGAAATGAATACCGATTTAATATAATTCATAGTAGTGAAGAACATGAAACGTATTTCATCTTCTTTGAGAATCGTCAACTAGATGTATCCCCACTCCACTGAATAATATATCACTACGAGTGGAACTTAGACTGAGAAATTAACACCTGGTGTCATCTAATACCTTAAATGTCTTAGAAAACCAAATGAATTGGTTCACTGAGTAGTAAATCCACAATCTTTCAATAGATGAAACTATCTCTGGTGGCTCACTAATTTATTTTCCATAATGAGACCGAAGAACTCAGCTCAGCAAGTGTAATGCGTAGATTACAAGGTCAAGCACAAAGATTGATCTATTCCGTTTGGGTCAGCCGGGTTTACAAAACATGAGAATTCAGCCTGATATATCATACTTAACTCTATTGTATAACTTTCTCGACGAACATTAGTTTACAGTTATACGCGCATTGACACATGGGCACCAAATAAGGCGAATGTGATACACTAATTATCGAATTATCATTATTGTATTGTTAACCAACATAGTCCTACACAGAACAAGGTGTTTCAGCAACACAAAGTGACGCCAGACTCGTAATGAGCTTCCTGCTTCCACTGTCTGCCCACAGTGTGACATATGTACTACCAAATGGAATTCTGAATGGATTATTGTCTGCACGTGTCTGTAGACGACCTCCATCTGTGTTGTTTTTAGGTATAGAACACTGTGTAACTGCAGTTTCTCTTCTTTTTGATTGAAGTCTTGCAGTCACATTCTTTCAGGATATCAGTGTTCAGCTTATGAGAGATTTCTATATTTTCGGTAATAAAATGATTAATACACTCTCAGCTAAGTTGTTGTCGTCATCTGAGTGGTTGGACTAGATTACTAACTCTACAGCTGTGAATTTGGAGATTTCAGTTCCAATTCATTTGTGTTCACAGATTCCCAACAGTGTCATAACACACCTGGTTCAATCTGTGTTCTGAGCAACCTCAGATATGGTGAGAACACTTCGTTGCCACATAATTATCCTCGAAAGGTGACACTTCGGTTGAGGGGCCTGCTCAAGGTTCTTAGCCACAGGAGCAGTTCATCCCAGGAAACTTTTTCTACATTCCAGCAAGGAATGAATTTATTTTTCATTTTTTTCCGTACATCAAATTATCGTATTATTATTGTTCCCTTGGGTTCCTGGTGCAACATAGGGCTTCAAATGCACGTCTCCACTTGATTTTGTCTTCTGTTTTACTTTTCCCCTGCAACCATGTTAGTCCATACTGTTTCAACTCCTCCTCTTCACACCATCTCCTCCATGTCACCCTTCCACTGACGTCCCACTCGCCGCGTGCTTCCCTTTCGGCCTGGTTCCACTGGAGCAATGGCCTGACGCGCGCGCGATGTCACCCAGCGGTCTCCTCAGCGAGTCTCCAGTCCATCCATCTCCACTTTCTCCTGCATATTTGTTGGTTGGCGATTGATTCTTGTTTTGTTTGTTTGTTTGTTCCTAGCCATAGTTTCTTGTTGGTGATTCTTTCCGGCCCGGCCATCTGATCTTCAGTATAGAGCCAGCGAGGACAGTTGTTGGTTGATAAAGGTGTGCAACAGGCTGTTGGAAATACCTGTTCCTTATGACCCGCCCGCCAAGTTTCTGATCCGTATAGAAGAACTGATTGACTTGACGTTGTTTGTATTGAAAATCCGGATTCTGTTGTTGATGCTGGCTGAGTGACGAAGATTTCCAGAATTGTTTCAGGTTGATGATGTTGATGTGTTTCTCGCCTTCCCGATTCTCGCTCGATTTGACATCGTCGTCCGTTTCGAGTGCCTGTAGTTGAGACAATGCTCCCTAGATAAGTGAGTGAATAAAGTAACCTCTTTCAAATCCCTCCTGTTAGTGGTGATCGGCGCTGGATGTTGCTGTTGTTGTTTTTGGTGGTGGTTGGTTATTTTCATAACCTCCGTCTTGTCTGTGTTCACCTGGAGTCCTGTCTTCGCTGACTGCTTCTTCGACCAGTTTGTCGGTCGGTTTTCGCTTGTAAGTTTTCGATTTTGTGTGATATCAAGCATAAATCATGCACACGCGAAATCCAGGTCTTCTAGGTTCTTCACGTCGGTCCAGACAGGATATCCCTGTCTTCTCGTTTCCCACTGTCTGACGCATAATCCAGTCAGTCCACCACAATTAAGAATATCATTCATTGGTGATAATAAGCACCCTTGTCTGTGTCCTGTGTTTACTCCAAACGCCTCACTGAGTTTTCCGTTGTGGATCACTTGACATGTGTCGTTGTTTTATAGTTGTTGAATAAGGTTGATGAATATTTGGGGTACGCCGTAGTACTCGAGTAGTTTCCAAATTACTTCACGATCAACGCTGTCGAAGGCCTTCTCAAAGTCTATAAAGTTGAGGTAGAGGTTTGATTGCCATTTCACGCTTTGTTCTGCGATGATGATGCGTAGAGTTGCAGTTTGGTCGGAACATGATTTGCCTTTCCTGAATGCAGCCAGCTTGTTCTGGTCGGAGTTCTGTATCCAGTGCGTCCTTAATTCTCTCCAGGATGATGCGACTCAGGATTTTACTTGGCGTCGACAGAAGCATGATTCCTCGCCAGTTCTTGCAGAGTGAGACGTAAGTCACCCTTCCTTGGTAGTTTCACGAAGTAACCTTACTTCCAGTCAGTAGGCACCTTTCCCTCCTTCCACACCTTTGCAATAATGGAGTCAGCATATCTGCTGTCGTCTCTGGGTTCGCTTTCAGTGTTTCAGGGGGTATTCCATCTGGTCCAGCTGCAGCAAGGAATGAGTTTATTTTTTTCTATAGTTTGGTTTGTAAATTTATTTTTCATATTTTTCTGTGCATCAAAATTATCGTAGCGATGATTTAAATTTTTAAAGAGTGGAGTGTTCAGCCTAATCATCAACCTTTCTCTTTTTAAATGTTAAGGAGTGGCCGATGAGCCAGAAAACCAGTTAACCACTCACAGTTGATCATCCAATCGCTATCCACGAAACCAACCGACATCGGATAAGTTCAATAGATTTAATCCAACAGCAATGACGGGAATATGGAAATACCTCCATCATTGGTATCATGATATGAGAAAGAGTCATCGTGAAGAAACAAGACTATAAAGTTATGCTTACATTCTAAAATATTTGTGAACAATAGGCGTTTACTGAACCACAATCCACCCTGTGAAATAAACACATTTGATAGTGTCGTACGTGTAGATAAAACAATTACTACTAAACACATCTTCCGACACTTACCTGATACCCGTAATCTAAAATCTCATGATATAAAATAGGTGTAATCGAAGGATTTCGGTCAGCAACACTTTTGACAATTTCGACTACTTTTGACGCGTAATAGTTTACTAACGCGGAAGAATTCCCAGAGAATCCCATTTTTTGCATGAATTCAACTATTTCTGGATTCGAAATCCTAAAGAAAAGAACACAGAAACACAATAAGTTTAATTTTCTCATGTCCTACGTCAGTGATTTTTACGCTATCGCAGAAAACGAATTCACCTTTTTAATGTTTATTTTCAAAAGAACAGCAGTGGGCAAACAAAGCGGAAAACCCTAGTCAGATACATGGAAGGGCATTCATGAATCAGAACACCTTAAGATTCGTAAAGAAGACGTCGTTTCTACCTGGTTGCCCATTTCATCCTTGGAATCTCTTTAACCGCTAACCACCTCTGAGTGGGCATAATACACTATTTTGTAGAGAATCCATAGATTAAGTAGAATCACCTACAGATTTATCATTCCTTCACTTCATATTTGTGACTG